ATTCCTGCATTAGGACAGCCTCCTTCCTCTTACCCCATGATACCAAGAACCTGCTAAATGCAAAACAAAGCCACAGCATGTCAAAAACTTATGACCACAGAAAGGCCATTTTAATCACAGCCACTTTCTACCAGTTTCTGGCCATTACGTTCACTAGCAGTTTAAAGAATATAGCACATGAGATCTGAGCATCCCACGTGGGCATATGGCCAAGTGGCAGCTGAGACCACAACTTTCTGACAACCTTCCCATTGTCCAACATAAAATATTTCAATGGCTTTACACCATTTCATTTTTACTGAAAAGTGCTATTAAAATGAAAGAAATTTTAAAAAAATCTCTGACAAAGAGAGCTTAAATCAGACCTAAGTACCAAGCAGCTGCAAATGTATAAATAGCACCTTCTTTTTAACTACTGCTTAAAACACACTACTGCACACCACGCAAACGCCCGCATATGAATTTCCTCTGCATCGTCTTCTCCATTAACTTTCGCTGATTTTTCTCAAAGCTGTTAAGAGAAATACACTGTTTTAAAAGGAAAACTAGTGCTCCTTGAAGGGGAAGAGGGTCAGAGGAGAAAGACCTGAAATATGTTCAACACTTTTGACACTCATACACCTCCTTCACAGCCAGTGTGCCCCGAAGAAAAAGGCAAGTGCATCATTTTTTCCCACTGCTATGATTTCCTGTTTTTCCTAAGTTCTCAAATCCCAAGTTCAGCAAACAGAACTCTCTCACATAAAGTAAACTTGTGTTAAAAAATCAAAGGTATCGAAAATGCAGTTATGCTGCAGGCAATAAGCACTACACAGCAACATTTGGCCAACATGTCAACAAACAAGCTTACTGCCTTTAACTATCTAGGATTCGAGCTCTGCAGCATGACAGGTCACATTCACTCTGCACTCAACAAGTGACACAGTTTCATTCAACACGGTTCCTTCTGGTTATAGCTTCAGCTCACAACCAAAGCCTGAGTTTCACAGAAGCAAACACCAGTGAATGTGAAGCAGTCAGATTTTGTCAGCGAGAATATTATATTCACTAGGAGTTTTTTACATGTCTCCCCTGCCTTAGTTCTCCCCATACTGTCTTCGCCCTCCGCATCAAGGAAAAGGACATGTGCCTACTCATTAAAAAAACATCCTGCAATTAGAAATGACTCCTGACAAAATCCTGAAACCACCCCCTCCCTGTCCTGTCCCTAACAAACTCCCATTGTTGTTCTTTTTATCACTACATAAACTTCCACAGACCTTTTTTATTCTCTGAAAATGAAAGAGATAACCAAGTCACCCAATAAGCAATTTGACTCATAGTCTCTGAGTGGTGAAAGAAGCAAGTGTGAAGTATATGTAACATGGCCTTTGTTATCACGGTACCCAGAAGGCTAGGACAGAAATATTATGCACTGGAGGTTTAATATGTTTTATCTCCCCTGTCAATTCACTTGCATCCTACCTTTATAACTATTGCCAGCATAGTCCCTGCATTCCATTAAATACCGAACCAATGCCATTTACAAAGCAAATGTTTACTTAAAGAGGTCTGCTATATGTGACAAAAATCTCTGGTGGGGGAGAGTGGGAATGCCAACGCATAGCTCTCCTCCAGCGTTAGACTCTACAGCTCTCCTCCAGCTCACTTGGCAGCACCTATTCTGTGATGCAAAGCTTTAATATTCAGTGAAAACAAAAACACACAACCACCAAAACCACTGGGGGAAGGAGAGCATTAAGGGGTTAGAGCAGTCACCTGAAGAACTTGCAGGCTAATTAAACAAATTCTTTTTTAGAGGTGATGAAAATGGCTTGCGTGAAACCAAGCCATGCTTCTGGCATGCTCCTGCACCACCAGGAGCATCACTGGTGGTCTGTGGGGCCTGCTGTTCTGCAGAGGGACAAAGACCCTCACATCAGGACATCCTGATGCAGCTCCATGTGCCCGGTCTTCCCCATGCCAGCAACCCAATGCAGCAGCTATATCCCCTTGTGCGTGACGGGGCAGGCACATCTACCACTGGGGACCACAGAGCTACTGAAGAGCTGGCACCTGCTACGGTACCCCCAAGATTTGGGCTGAGCAGGAGCCAGCGCTCCTGGCCAAGCAGCCAGTTGCCATCCATCCCAGCAGGCAGGTGCACCTCATCCATCTTAACACTCCTTCACCTCACAGACTTTAAGCACTGGTTTATTTAGGGCTCCCATCAAAAGCTGTACTTGAGAGTTAATCTTTCAGAGCAGAGACCCGTGTGAAAGTCCTTTGCAGTACACCTGTATCAACTACTATGCCTCAGGACAGTAAAAATTTGCAATTTAAAAATGGCATTTTCCATGCAAAGGGAACCGCATCCCCTCCCCCAAAACAAAAGTAGTATCTTGAAAAAGGAGTATGTGCTTTCTCTCTTTTATAATGCACAGAATTAAAAACCCTGCCTATTTTTCTCTTTCTGCTTTAGTCTTCTCTTTTAGTTTCCTTGTTGTGAGTGAAGAAGCAGTAAGCAAAAGGAGAAGTCAGGAAAAGGATTAAGCTCTTTTTCCATTCAGCCAAAAAGAAGCTCGCAGCTGAAAAAAGGAAAAATTCAGATATATCACTCCTGTCATCCCAAGATGTAGTCACTTTGGGGCATATAAATGCACTGCGCCCTGGCTCAGCAACTTCCCCTGGCATCACAGTTTACAGGATCACACAGAGCGGGAGCACAGGAGGAGCCTGTGTATGCCCTCCCTTCCTCCACGGTCCAAGCACACCTGTAAAGGCAGTCACAGCTTGGAGAGCTGGAATAAAAGCAGCCTGAGAAATGTGTGGAGCAGCTTCTCTGGGGCAGGCTCCCTAGGTGGCCTGCCAGGCTACAGCAACCGTGCTGGCACCTTGCGCCTACACCACTCCCCAAGGACAAGGGAGGTCATTGTAAAGCTCTTCCTGATGCTGATGGGTGTCATCATGTCGCTGGCTCAGGAGGTCTCTCAGGCTCTGCAGACCTCACTTGGGCTTGTCAGTCTTCGCTACAGATGCAAGCTATTTAAAATACATGGCCCATTTGCCCAAGCGTATGCACATCATCTTTTTCGTGTCCATGTCTGTGTGTGTCGCGTTCTCTCCCCCTCACCTTAAGAAGGAAGGCAGTCTCAGTTTCTCCCAAATGACATGGCTTGAGTTTTGAACACAGTTAACAATACAGATGCAGTTAGGGATGTGTACCACCTCCGAGAAAAACTTCCAGGTACTAAGCTTCAAAACCTAACTAACTAAGGCAAGCACCACGCTGCACTGACTAAGGCTTGTGTTAATTTAAAATGGAGTAAGCTACCATGCCTTGCAGTGCACTAACTGGAAGCATTTCTTTTGTTTTTACGGAAGCCTAAGCATTAATTTCTCTGTTTTGCCATCAGTACTGTTTTCTATGTTTGCTAGTGTCAATGCCTACAGTACTTTTATATCTAAACCTACAGACTAAGAAGAACAAGAGACAGGAATCCTAGGTGATAGGAACATGTTTTCATGTTGCTTCAACTACTTAAAAGAAAAATAAAAAATAGTTAAATAATTGTGGGAAGTCTGAAAAGTCCAGCGTATCAAATAAAGTATCTGAAACATATGGTAGTACTTTGCTCACAATGAACTTAAAAAACCCCAAAACAAAACACCATAACCTCCCCCCCCCTTACAAATTCGCAAATCTGCTCAGGTGAAGTGCCAAGTCAAACAGGGATGGTATGGCTGCAGAGAACAGAGATGGGAACAGGTTCTGACGTTAGCAGAACAGGCAGAGCAATGGCTCAACACCTGAGTGGAGATAAAAGCACTCTACTTGCAAGGTAAGTTTCCAGATGTAGCTAATAAAAGCTGCTGTGTTATCATGTGATTGCTAGCCTTGGCCACAGTTTTCCATTTTTCTATAAATATGATTACAGAACAAAGAGCAGAAAGCTGTTCAGTTCCAAGCACAGATTCAGTTATAAGGAAAAAGGAAAAAACTGCTTCTGGCAGCTAAGGACACTTTAAAGTGAGCTTCATTCTCCACTGCCTTTATGGTTTGGAGTCACTCATACCTGCTCAATGCAAACTTAACACTAGAGTTCTGGCTCGTTAGCAGAAGTGTACAAAGCAAGCAGCGGGGAAAACAGAAATGCTAAAACACAAAAGCAGAACCAAAATGTAACTGTGTGACGACAGTGCAATGACCAGGCTGACCTTGGGGCTCAGGCCATGTATCACACCAGGAGACTCTCTAATTATTACTATACCACTGCACCTCTTAAAGTTTGGGGTTTTCTAATGCAGACAAGGTCTCCGTGTAAAAACACGCCATTAAAAAGCTTTCTACTAAAATAAGTTCGTATTTTTGAAATCTGTAACGCTACTTAGGATATAAAAGCATCTTAACAGGCATTAAGAAATAGTCAATGTTTTGTACAGCCCATTAAGAAGCAAGCCAGGATTTGCTAAACTTACAACAAGCAGCACCTTGCTTGTTGCAAGAAAAGTGTACGTAAGTGATGCCTGTTGCTTTGCATTACGCTCTTCACTGAGCCAATTCCAATTTGTCAGCAATGGAAATAGCTTTGTTCCTTTAAGAAAAGGAAAGACATTTTAGGAAGGAAACGCAGAGCCAAATTTTAAGCAAAATTAATCAGTCTTGATTTTAATTAAGGGTAATGCAGTCAAACATTCAATCCTTCTAAATTTTATATTTCAGTAGTCAGGATGCAAATGCCAAATATTTGTATCTATCATTCTGTTACCAAGAAATTAAACAAACACTGTGCTCTGCATTACCCGTAACTGGCAGTAGAAAAGTGACATTTAGCATTCTTCTACTTATACTTCTGAAAGCACACAAGAGTAGACCAAAACCTGAAGTTTTCACCCATGCAGCTCACTAACACGATGTTGCCCATGTTCTGGATGCCAACAAATA